CGTGTCCGGCTGCCCCTTCGGGCACCCTGTCGGGTCTGTACCTTCCCTCGTTCTCTACGAACTTGGTGAGTGGAGCGGACCTGCAGGATGTGGGTGTTCACCAGTTCACTCCTGCGAGTCAGCGGGTGACCCACTGCACGGAGGCACGCACAGGCCGACACCTGGCCACGTTCTCGCGTCGGCCGGGGTCGAGTCTCTACACCCTGACCGTTGAGTCTCCTCCTGTCCCTGCGTCTGGTCAGGTGGCTGCGTCGGGTCAGGTACTTGCTGCTGCGTCCCGGTCAGGTCCTGAGTCTGCCCCCTGTTCTTGTCGCCTCCTGTCTCACGAGACTCTCCTGTGGCACCACCGTCTTGGCCACCCCTCCTTGCCCCGTCTTCGGAGCATGGCTTCCCGTGTCCTTGTCTCTGGTCTTCCCCAGTCTCTCCCTCCTCTCCCCTCCGGGCCAGGACCTTCCTGTGTCCCCTGTGTCGAGGGTCGCCTCCGGGCTACTCCTCACTCCTCCCACTTCCCCCCGACAGAGGCTCCCCTGCAGACGCTTCACATGGATGTGTGGGGCCCAGCCCCCGTCCGTGGGCAGGGTTACGAGCGCTACTTCCTGTTGGTGGTTGACGACTACTCGCGTTACACCACAGTCCTCCCCTTACGCAGCAAGGGTGCGGTCACTGAGGTGCTGATCGACTGGATCCGCGAGGCTCGTCTCCAGCTCAGGAAGAGCTTCGGCTCGGACTTTCCTGTTCTGCGTCTGCACTCTGACAGAGGCGGAGAGTTCTCTTCTCGCCTTCTGCGAGACTACTGTCGTGCACGGGGGATCCGCCAGACCTTCAAGCTTCCGGACTCACCACAGCAAAATGGGATTGCTGAGCGCCGCATTGGCATGGTCATGGATGTCGCTCGTACGTCCATGATGCATGCGGCTGCCCCCCATTTTCTGTGGCCGTTTGCGGTGAGGTACGCGGCGCATCAGCTCAACCTTCACCCCCGGGTCTCTCGGCCTGCGATGTCCCCAGCCTTGCTGTGGACGGGGAAGGTTGGCGATGCGTCTGTGTTCCGTGTCTGGGGATCTCAGGCGTTTGTCCGCGACTTGTCTGCGGACAAGCTGTCCCCTCGTGCTGCTCCCTGTGTCTTCCTTGGCTTCCCCACTGACGCCCCAGGGTGGCAGTTTTACCACCCCTCCTCTCGTCGTGTTCTGTCCTCCCAGGACGTCGCGTTCGACGAGTCAGTCCCCTTCTACCGTCTCTTCCCCTACCGCACTCCTTCCCTCCCCCCTCCCCCGGACTTCCTTGTGCCGGTTCCCCCCCCGGTAGACCCCCTCCCCCCTCAGGTTCCTGCCCCCTCAGGTGTGTCCCAAGTAGACGCCGTTGACCCGGTCGAGGTTACTGGTGACTCTGGTGCTGCTGCGGGTGCTGAGCCTGGGGGTGCTGACTCTGGGGGTGCTGTGCGCGGGGGTGCTGAGCCTGGGGGTGCTACTGCAGGGGGTGCTGGGCCTGAGGGTGCTACTGCGGAGAGTGCGGAGCCTGGGGGTGCTGAGCCGGGGGGTGCTGTGCCTGGAGGTGCTGGGTCTGGGGGTGCTGGGTCGGGAGCTGCTGAGCCTGGGGGTGCTGCGTCTGGAGCTGCTGAGCCTGGGGTTTCTCCTGCTGCTGCGTCTCGCCGGGAGCCCCTCTCTCCACAGGAGCTGCGCGAGTGGTTCGCTCGCCGCTGGAGGCGTGCTGCTGCGTCTGGAGGTGCTGCTGGAGCTGGAGCTGGAGCTGGAGCTTCTTCGACTGTCGAGGGTGCAGGTGCTGCCGGTCCCGGAGCTGCTGGACCTGCGGGTCCTCCTGGAGCTGGAGTTGCTAAGGGCGTTGGTGCTGAGCCTACTGCTGTTGGTCCTGCCGCTGGAGGTGTGGGTGGCGCTCGTGCTGTCGCTGAGGGTGGTGGTGCTGTCCCTGCTGAGTCTCGAGCTGCCGCGCGGCCTCGGCCGTACTTCGTTCCACTCCTGCAGCAGGTTCTTGGTCTTTCTCCTCCAGTAGAGGGTCCACCGCCTGTCCAGTCGCAGTCCCTGCTGGAGCTTTCCTCTCCACTGCCTGCTCCCTCTCCTTACACTGGTCCTACTGGAGGTCTTGCTGAGCGTCGTGAGCCTGCGTCTCGTCCCGCGTCGCCTGTTCGTGCTGCTCGCGCTAGTGGTCGCAGTTCGCGTCAGCGTCCTCCTCCTGTCCCTGGCACGCACCGGATGTCTTTGCGTCCGTCCACTGCTCCTCTGCGTGCCCCTTTGCCTTCTCCTCCTGAGTCCTCTCTTCCTGTGCTTGCCGACCCTGAGTCGGACTCTCTTCGTGCTGCCAGTCCTACTCTCACGCGTCTCCTTGCTACTGTCGTCACTGACCCCTCTTTTGAGTCCACTGCTGCGTCTGCCCTTGTCGCTGAGCTCGTCCACTTTGCTGCTCGCTGTCGTCTCGACTACGCTGCTAGTCTTGTTGCTGAGTCTGCGTCTGTCTGTCCTCCGTCCGTCGGGGGTGAGTGTGCTCTTGGCACGGACGTCCTAGAGGACAGGCAGGAGGAGTTACAGTGTCTAGCGGCTGCTTCACCTTATCTCGCGTCTGTACTGCTTGCCCCTGAGGGAGACCCGGATGCACTAGACATCCCGACTCCGCGTTCTTACGCGGAGGCCGTAGAGGGTCCCTACTCCTCTCAGTGGCAGGCAGCTATGGATGCAGAGATGGCTTCCTGGAAGTCCACAGGCACCTACGTTGACGCGGTTCCCCCTCCTGGGGCGAACATCGTCAGTGGCATGTGGATCTTCAGGGTGAAGCGGCCGCCGGGCTCTCCACCTGTCTTCAAGGCACGGTACGTTGCTCGTGGCTTCAGTCAGCGACAGGGAGTTGACTACTTTCAGACCTTCTCTCCCACCCCGAAGATGACTACTCTTCGGGTTCTGCTGCACATAGCCGCTCAGCGCGACTACGAGCTTCACTCTCTCGACTTCAGCACTGCGTTCTTGCAGGGTAGCCTGCACGAGGAGATCTGGCTTCGCCGTCCACCTGGCTTCACTGGGACTTTCCCTCCTGGCACCCAGTGGAGCCTCCGACGGCCAGTCTACGGTCTCCGCCAGGCACCGCGTGAGTGGCACGACACACTGAGGACTACGCTTGCGGCTCTTGGGTTTGCTCCTTCTACTGCTGACCCGTCGCTGTTTCTTCGCACCGACACTTCCCTGCCGCCGTTCTACATCCTCGTGTACGTCGACGACTTGGTCTTTGCCACAGCGGACACTGCTGGACTCGCCTACGTGAAGTCCGAGCTGCTGAAGAGACACACGTGCACAGACCTGGGTGAACTGCGCAGCTACCTTGGCTTGCAGATCACTCGGGACAGAGCACGCCGCACCATTACCGTGACTCAGTCACACATGGTGCAGCAGGTCCTTCAGCGCTTCGGCTTCACGTACTCCTCGCCTCAGGCCACTCCTCTGCCTACTCGCCACTCACTCTCAGCTCTGCCTTCGGATGAGTCCGTAGAGTCGAGTGGTCCGTATGCAGAGCTTGTTGGCTGCCTCATGTACCTGATGACCTGCACACGACCTGACCTTGCATACCCTCTGAGCATTCTTGCACGCTATGTTGCTCCTGGGAGACACAGACCGGAGCACATGGCTGCAGCGAAGAGGGTATTGCGCTACCTGTGCAGTACGTCGGGCATGGGGCTAGTGCTTGGAGGGCGGAGTCCAGTGGTCCTTACCGGCCACGCGGACGCTTCTTGGGCTGACGACCAGGCTACGCAGCGGTCGTCACAGGGTTACACCTTCAGCCTTGGTTCCGGCTCTGTCTCGTGGCGGTCTACTCGCTCGTCTTCGGTTCTCGGCTCCAGTTGTGAGGCTGAGATCTACGCCGGGGCCATGGCTGCACAGGAGCTTCGCTGGCTCACCTACCTGCTGACTGACCTTAGAGAGCCGCCTCGTTCTCCTCCAGTGCTGTACGTAGACAACAAGGCTATGCTGGCCTTGTGTCGAGAGCAGCGCTTGGAGCACAGAACGAAGCACATTGCTCTCCGCTACTTCCTTGCTCGTGAGCTGCAGCAGCGTGGTCAGTTGCGACTTGCGTACGTGGCCTCTGAGGCCAACACTGCTGATGTGTTCACCAAGGCACTCGCGCCTTGTGACCATCAGCGCTTTTGCACCCAGCTGGGTCTTGTGCCTGTCTTGCCTCACTTGCTCTCCTCTTGACTTCACTTGTACTGTGACATATATATATGCCTGCTCTTGTTTGTCTAGTTTTATATATATATGTCTGTACTCCTGCATGTGAACTGGCCTCTGGCCCTACTCTTGTGCTCGGACTGTGTGGTGACTTTGTGATCCACCCTGAGCTTGCTTTGCTTTGCTTGACTGGTCTTGTGACCCCTTGTTCTCCCCCACTTTGCCTATGGGGGTGTGTCAGATTTATATGACATAGTTGCTGTAGGCTATAGTGGGGTAGCACATATGGGGTACAGGGTTTCTAGGGTTGTATTTGTACCCAATCTTTCCTTAGTCATTCCATTCCTGTTTTCTTTACTTCACACGGGGCTGGCGGCGACCGCGCCGGAGCTAGACGACAACGACCTCGAGAGCAGCCCCACCGACGCGGACGACGTCGATGATAGCGCTCCGGTTGTTACTCCAGGTGGCGGTTCAGGTGGCGGTTCGGCTGGCGGTTCAACTGACGATTCTATAGCTGGCGATAGCAACGCCGCTAGTACAAATGTCACGCTTGCCTCCGTTAGTAGCCCATCCGCTGTGCCCCCTCGCTTCGGTACAATCACGAGATCGCGTTTCGAGGCTCCTTGGAAAGCGATACGGCGGCTGGCAGATCGAATCAAGCGGCGCGCGGACGTGCGGCGGGCGAACGTGAAATCCTTCGTCAACTTTCTGCGGGATTCGCAGCGGCAGTTTTTGCGAAAGAACAACATTTCGCCGTCGCAGCTGTTCCACAGCTACACGTACACGCTTAACGGGTTCGCTGTATCGCTGACGGCTGCGGAAGCGAAACGGATGAAGCACCATCCTGCTGTGGCATGGATTGAAGAAGACAAACCGGTGAGTGGAGAAGAGAGAACAGTGAGTGAAGCGATTAGCTAGGAGTAGTAGCTGAGGAAAGGAGGGGAAAGTAGGGATGAAGGGAAGAGAGCGGGGGTGGGGGTAAGAGCGGGGGAGAGGGGGGAGCGAAGCATGTGGGGGAAGAGAGCAAGAAGGGGGAGGGTTAGAGTGGAGAGGGGACTGGATGAGGATAAGAAAAATGGAGAGAAAATATATTGTTTCAACAGCTCACTGCTCTTATAGCTGCCGCGTATTCTCTCCTTACTGCAAGCATACTTCTTTTGCATATCGTTTATGTCGTCTCACTATATTGCTCTGTGTAGTTTCCAATACTACATCTTGATTTTTTTTGGGGGGGGCAGGTTCGCGCGCTCACTGTAGACTCGCCGACTTTCTTGAAGTTGCCGACCAGCCTGTGGGCTTCAAACGGGGGGCAGAGCCGTGCGGGCGAAGGTGTGATTATAGGCGTGGTGGATTCGGGAATCTGGCCGGAACACCCTTCTTTTGCAAACACGGTAAGCAGTATATACCCTTCCCAGCCTGCAGACCCCTACGGTCCGGTTCCGGATTGGTGGTTTCTGTGGGTGTGCGGCAACGGCAGATTTCCCATCCTCGCTCTGCAATAGCAAGCTTTTAAGACGTCTCAAAAGTTCCCATCCTCGCTCTGCAATAGCAAGCTTTTAAGACGTCTCAAAAGTTCCCATCCTCGCTCTGCAATAGCAAGCTTTTAAGACGTCTCAAAAGTTCCCATCCTCGCTCTGCAATAGCAAGCTTTTAAGACGTCTCAAAAGTTCCCATCCTCGCTCTGCAATAGCAAGCTTTTAAGACGTCTCAAAAGCTCCCATCCTCGCTCTGCAATAGCAAGCTTTTAAGACGTCTCAAAAGCTCCCATCCTCGCTCTGCAATAGCAAGCTTTTAAGACGTCTCAAAAGCTCCCATCCTCGCTCTGCAATAGCAAGCTTTTAAGACGTCTCAAAAGCTCCCATCCTCGCTCTGCAATAGCAAGCTTTTAAGACGTCTCAAAAGTTCCCATCCTCGCTCTGCAATAGCAAGCTTTTAAGACGTCTCAAAAGTTCCCATCCTCGCTCTGCAATAGCAAGCTTTTAAGACGTCTCAAAAGTTCCCATCCTCGCTCTGCAATAGCAAGCTTTTAAGACGTCTCAAAAGTTCCCATCCTCGCTCTGCAATAGCAAGCTTTTAAGACGTCTCAAAAGTTCCCATCCTCGCTCTGCAATAGCAAGCTTTTAAGACGTCTCAAAAGTTCCCATCCTCGCTCTGCAATAGCAAGCTTTTAAGACGTCTCAAAAGTTCCCATCCTCGCTCTGCAATAGCAAGCTTTTAAGACGTCTCAAAAGTTCCCATCCTCGCTCTGCAATAGCAAGCTTTTTGGCGCCAAATCAATCAACCCCCAATATCCCGCCCTTCCCCTTGCCATTCTCCCTCACACCCCTTTCCCTTTCCCGTCCCCTTTCCCTTTCCCGTCCCCTTTCCATTTCCCGTCCCCTTTCCCTTTCCCGTCCCTTTTCCCTTCTCTCACCCCTTTCTCCATCTTCGTTTCCCCTTGTTCTCTTCCCCAGCCTGCGGACCCATACGGTCCAGTCCCGGACCGCTGGTTTGGCGGGTGTGCAGAAACGGCGGACTTCCCAGCCTCGCTCTGCAACGGCAAGCTCATTGGTGCAAAGTTCTTCAACAGCGGGTTCCTCAATGCCGGGCAGGATGTGGACCCGGACGACTTTTCGTCTGCCCGGGATGGAGACGGGCATGGGACGTGGTGTGCGGGGTGAGTGTGCTTATCCTCCTATACTCTCATTCAGTTTATCCTCCTTTTCCACAAATACACTCAGTCCCTCTATTCTCTATATGCACTCATTTTGAGGCGCCTCAAAACTGTTTATTACACGCCCCATCCTCATATACTCACATACAGTTTATCCTCCTTTTCTGCAAGTACACTCAGTCCTTCTATGCTCTTTCTTCTCGCCTTTCTCCCCCTAGCATCATCAGTGCGGCAGTCAGCAACACGAACGTGAGTGTGGTGCTTCAATCTACCGTCTCTCATCTCCCTCCACCCATCCCAACCCAACCCACCAGTGCAGCCGCGGGCAAAGCGAACGTTGGGTGTGGCACCGCGAGTGGCGTGGCGCCTCGTGCGCGTGCATTTCTGTGGCGCTTTTTGAGGCGCTTTTTGAGGCGCCTCAAAAATCGCCTCAGTTCACGCGGATTTCATGCGAGCGGCGTCGCACCTCGTGGGCGTGCATCGCCATGTTACAATACAAGGCGCTCTCAGTCTTACTCCCACCTTCAACCCCCCCACCCCCACCTTTTCCTTCTAACCAGAGCGGCAGCTGGCAATGCGAACGTTAGCGTGGAGATGGGCGGCTGCAGCTTCTTTCCCTGCCCTTCACCCTACCTTCTCATCCCTCTCCACCCCTTCCAACCCACCAGAGCGGCAGCGGACAATGCGAACGTTAGCATGGAGATGGGCGGCCGCAAGTTTGGATTCGCGAGCGGCGTGGCACCGCGGGCGCGCATCGCCATGTACAAGGCGCTGTGGTGGGTGAAGGACTTCGGCACAGCGGCCGGCACCAACTCCGACCTCCGAGCCGCCGTTGATGCCGCTGTGGCGGACGGTGTGGATGTGCTCTCGCTTTCTTTGGGGGATTTGGTGCGCGAGTATTTCTCACACATTCACTACATGAATGCGGCTAAGGTGAGGCTTTGGAGATAATCCCAAGGTACGCTTCTGTGGCGGACGGCGTGGATGTGCTCTCGCTTTCTTTGGGGGATTCGGTGCGCAGGTATTTCTCACACATTCACTACATGAATGCGGCTAAGGTGAGGCGGCTTTCTGCAGGCTGGTGTGTTTGCGGTTCACAAGGCATGAGGCGATTCTTGAGGCGATTCTTGAGGCGATTCTTGAGGCGATTCTTGAGGCGATTCTTGAGGCGATTCTTGAGGCGATTCTTGAGGCGATTCTTGAGGCGATTCTTGAGGCGATTCTTGAGGCGATTCTTGAGGCGATTCTTGAGGCGATTCTTGAGGCGATTCTTGAGGCGATTCTTGAGGCGATTCTTGAGGCGATTCTTGAGGCGATTCTTGAGGCGATTCTTGAGGCGATTCTTGAGGCGATTCTTGAGGCGATTCTTGAGGCGATTCTTGAGGCGATTCTTGAGGCGATTCTTGAGGCGATTCTTGAGGCGATTCTTGAGGCGATTCTTGAGGCGATTCTTGAGGCGATTCTTGAGGCGATTCTTGAGGCGATTCTTGAGGCGATTCTTGAGGCGATTCTTGAGGCGATTCTTGAGGCGATTCTTGAGGCGATTCTTGCGGCGATTCTTGCGGCGATTCTTGCGGCGATTCTTGCGGCGATTCTTGAGGCGATTCTTGAGGCGATTCTTGAGGCGATTCTTGAGGCGATTCTTGCGGCGATTCTTGCGGTGATTCTTGAGGCGATTCTTGAGGCGATTCTTGCGGCGATTCTTGCGGCGATTCTTGCGGCGATTCTTGCGGCGAATCTTGCGGCGATTCTTGAGGCGATTCTTGCGGCGATTCTTGCGGCGATTCTTGCGGCGATTCTTGAGGCGATTCTTCAGGCGATTCTTGAGGCGATTCTTGCGGCGATTCTTGCGGCGATTCTTGCGGCGATTCTTGCGGCGATTCTTGCGGCGATTCTTGAGGTGATTCTTGAGGCGATTCTTGAGGCGATTCTTGAGGCGATTCTTGAGGCGATTCTTGAGGCGATTCTTGCGGCGATTCTTGCGGCGATTCTTGAGGCGATTCTTGCGGCGATTCTTGCGGCGATTCTTGAGGCGATTCTTGAGGCGATTCTTGAGGCGATTCTTGAGGCGATTCTTGAGGCGATTCTTGAGGCGATTCTTGAGGCGATTCTTGAGGCGATTCTTGAGGCGATTCTTGAGGCGATTTTTTGGGCGCCTCAAAAACCTGCCCTCTCCTTAACCTCCCCGCATCCCCCATGATTTCTGCAACGAGGCAACGAGGCGCATCCCTCTCCCATGTCGAATCCCCTTCTTACCCCTTCCCACCCCACCCCACCCCACCTCACCCCACCCCACCCCACCCCACCCCACCCCACTCCACCCCTGGCAATGCTGGCAGGCGGGTGTGTTTGTGGCACTGGTAGCAGGCAACTCGTGGCCTCCCTCTCCTACGCATGATGTGGGGACGCTCGAAAACGTTGCTCCGTGGTACCTGACAGTGGGAGCAACGAAAGTTGAGAGGAAACCGTTGTTGAGAAAGTGACAGACACACAGTGCGGCGCAATTTAAGTTGCGAGAGATTTCTTTGTTGAACGGAAGAGGTGTGCTGATGAAGACGCTTCGTGTGACGGGGTAAAGGTGTGCTGTAAGGAAACTACTTCTCCATGGCTTGGGGTATGGGATGGATGGAGCTTATGGGAGTGAGTGAGTTGCACCTCTTAAAAGCGACTCAGAACCCCTCTATATCCCCCTTGCTCCCCTCCCTCAATGCATCCCTCTCTCCCTTCCCACAGCACCATTGGTCGACACGGTGTGGCAAAGCTGATCCTAGGGCACGGTGTGGCAAAGCTGATCCTGGGGTACGGTGTGGAGTCTACTTTTAAGCTCGCTCTACTTTTTTATTCTTAAAATTAGGCATGGTGTGGCTCTTAGGGGAGTGAGCTTTGGAGGCACCGAGTGGAGGAGGAGCCATGCAGGACACGAAGGCACACAGCCAGTTACTCCCTTCCCTGCCCTCATCCCGCTCCCTCCCTCCCTCTTCTCCCTTCCCATCTTCCGCTCCTCCCCTGCCCTCTCACAGCACCATTGGTCGGCAGTACCTTGCAAAGCTGATCCTGGGGAATGGGGAGGAGGTGAGGGGAGTGAGCTTCGGAGGCACCGCCGCACAGACGGTCAATAAAGTGCTCCTGCCGGCTTCCGCTGCTGTCCGAGCAGGCGCGTCTGCTGCTGATGTGAGTCACACGCATTTATCACAAGGTGACTTTGAGTCGAGTCACAGGTCAATAAATTCGAATCCCCATCAGCACATTCCAAGCATCCTCTCTTTTGCCCTCCACCTGTTTGCATCGTTCCCCCTCTGATGATCCCCCAGGCTGATGTGTGTGACTTTACTGCCATCGACCAAAGCCAATTGGCTGAGAAAATTATCGTGTGCACATAACAACCCTCCTCTCTCTCTCCTTTGCCCTGCGCTGCGCCTCTCTCCTTTACCCTTTTTATGACGCCAGGCTGATGTGTGTGACTTCACTGCAATCGACCCAAGCAAATTGGCTGGGAAAATTATCGTCTGCACTTTGGAGCCATCTGTAGGAGTCCCCATTACCTTCCTTACTGCTTCCAAGGCAGCAGCGCTTGTCCTCCTTAGTGGCTCTCCCAATACTGACAACATGGAGACGATTCCTTTCACCAGCCTGCCCGTCCTGTTCCTCACCAACGCCCAGGGCGGGCAGGTGAACAATTACCTGGAGCAGACAGCCAATCCCGTGGCGACACTTACCGAAGTCATTACCACAAATTCCTCCAACGACCCCCAAATGACTAAGTTCTCTTCCACCGGACCAACCGTAAACCCATCCTGGTTTCCAGTCCCTTCCTCCTTCGCAACCAACGACATCTTAAAGCCAGACATAGTAGGTCCGGGGTTCCAGCTCTGGTCGGCGTACCGAGGCAAGAGCGCAGCTCCGGCAGCCACCGAACCTCCCATGTTTGAGTGCATTTCGGGTACCTCCATGGCTACACCACATCTCGCCGGAATCGCGGCGCTAGTAATCCAGAAGAATCCGCAATGATGACTACAGCATCTACAGTAAATAATGCCGGCCAACCAATCAAACGCGCAAATGGGGACGTGGCTACTCCGTGGGATTACGGCTCGGGGCAGGTCGACCCGTCGAGAATTATAGACCCCGGATTAACTCTCACCTCTGGGTTTAACGATTATGTGAATTTTCTCGCGAGCCGAAATCTCCAGCAGACCAAGCATGCGTTTCCGGGGCTGAAGGGGATTCGAACACTGGAGCCGTGGAATCTCAACCGTCCAACGATCTCGATCTCACGGCTGTCCGGCCGCGGAAAGACGATTTTGCGCACAGTTTGGAACGTGTTTGACCAGCCGTCGACGTACACTGTGCAGGTTCGGGTGCCGACGAACGTGCAGGTTCGGGTGCCGCCGAGCCGGTTTACCGTTGGTCCGGGAAAGGTGCAGCGCATCACGATGGTTTTCAAGGCAAGGAAGCTTGTGAGGTCGTTTCTGTTTGGGTCGGTTAGATTGGGATGTTCATACGGCGCGGCTCGGGAAAAACCCCGCCCACGCCTTGGGATGCACGGAGCGCGGAGAAATCGCGGGGAGCGTGGGGCGAAGTCGGCCACCTAGGATCCCACCAGGTTTGGACCTAGCGCGGCCCTGCGTGGCTGAGTGAAACCCACCAGGCTGCCACCGAAAGCTCCGCAGCCCCCAGAAAACCGAAGGAACCCACCTCGTTCTTACGCGCCGATGCATGCGCGACTCGGCAGAAAACGAACGCGATTGGTCGGTAACATTGACGAGCGGGACATCCCGCGCATGCAACCGCGAGTTCGCGACACGAAAGGAGTGCTACTACTGGTTGTGCTCTCTTGCAACTTATCGCGAACAAAATTCGCACAAGCATAGGTTCGTTAACCCGCACAGCGAGATCCGGTTCGGTTACAGCTGGCGCGATCTGGTAGGCTCCATGCCAGCTGACACGTGCCGCAATTTGAACGAGCCACACAGCTGTCGCCGTTTCGTCGATGCGCGATCGCGGTAACGTGTCACGCACGTCCACGCAGTGTCCGGTCATTACGCCGAGCACGCCCACAGTTTCCATTTTCCGATCGCCAGTTGCACACCAAGCTCTACCCCCTCACGACCCACTGGGATACACCAGACACCAGTATCGCGGTCGCGTTGTGTGCCGCGCTAGAATTTCCGCGAGCACATCGGTCGCGAGGCAGACGCGTCTAACTCACACCCGGGTGGACAACTAGTGACCGCGCATCATGTTGACGCACGCTGTGAATACGAGTAGGTGCAATCTCGCACGCCGCATGCATACCGTGAATCGCGTTGCGGCGCCAATACTTCACGACTCAATCAATGCTTCGGGCAACACAACCGCGCATCAAATCCATAATGCTGAACCACCTACCGCTCCCGTGCATGGGGTGAACGCGCTCAACCCCACATGGAGCACCCCATACGTGCAGCCACTGGTTTTTGGGTCCCGGACTCCCACGTTTCACCCACAGCAACTGGTCAACGGGCTCCACCTAGCACCGCGGCCACAAATACCGTTTGCGGCAGCAGCGGTTGGTTACAGAATCAACCGGGTAATGCGGTCGCGTCCCCGTCCGTGCCCAGTAGCCAGCTCTTTGGGATGCCCGTGCGTGGCTTCGTAGGGTCGCAGTACTCGAACGTGGGATTCAGGTACGGGTACATCGGCGTTCAACCAGACCCCATGGTGCACGCATCCGCATCTGTTGCGACGCCTCCTGTCGCGCCGTCAACACCATTCTCCAGCGCGATTCATCCGGAAAGCCAGCCAGCAGTGCAAGCCCCGCCAGAAGCATTAGTTGTCGGTTTGGACACACAGGCGCGAACAGACGGCCCATCATCGAACGCGGTTGCCGGTGGTTTAGGGCGTGCGGTGAATGGTGAACCGGGGGTGAATGCAAGTGCGCGTGCACATTCGCCGCCAATATGGAACGTCAACTCACTGTTGCTCGAAAACCCCGACGTCCACATCCGCACCCCCGCGCATCCGACTGTAGCGTACGCGACTGGTGTAGGTGGGCAATCACAGGGGAACGCGGGGAACGCGGGGCGTGGAGCGGGTGCAAGCGGAAACGCGGTAAGGGGAAGAGGGACGGGTGCGAGAGGGAACGCGGGAGGAGGGACAGGGGAGAGAGGGAACGCGGCTAGAGGGAGAGGTGCGAGACGAAGGGATGGGAGAGCGATCGCGGGACGTGGGACAGGTGCTGGAACAAACGAGTATAGTGCAAACGGCCAGGGAGCGCATGGGGTGACACATAACGGCGGCCGGGGTAGCGGTGTTAACGCAAACGGCGGGTCAGGTAATGGGCCAGTTAATAGACCGCGTATAAAGAGGCGGAGAGTCGATGTAGTGCCGCACACGGCACGCAATGGCTCCCGGGAGGGGAGCGAGGGGACAAGCGATGAGGATGACGAGGACGACGCGTACGATGCGGACGATAGTTGGAATGACGATGACGAAAACTACCTAACCAACTCGCTGTCCGCGCTCAACGAGGAGGAGGCGGAAGACAACGAACGGGTGCGGGGTACGCGGAGGGACATTGAGGTCCCTATCGCAGATTGGAACAGGCTAGGTGTGGACGACACGCCGGCCGCGAAACGAGAGATGTGTTACGGAATCCTCTACGGTGTCTCTGAGGCCACGCTGAAGAAGTATCGCGGTTGGGCCAACGAGTACAAGCGGTTCATGGCTCACGAGCTGCCTAAACTGGACGCGGGTAGGTTTGGTGATGAGGCCGCGCTGAGAAACGCGAACCCCGACGAGATTGGGGCCGCGCTCGAACAGAACATGGGTGGTGACTGGAAGATGGCGGAGAGCGACGAGCAGTGGTTCCACGGCCCTGAGACGAATCCGTGGCGCTTACGCAAATACGTGACCTTCCTCGCAAACGAGACAGTCGCGCAGGCGGACAGGATGGCCACACTCAAGCGGCCGCAGAAGACCTTGAAGAAGAGACGCCAGTGCACTCCGGCAATGCTGATGGGGCGTCTCAAGGCTTTGAACCTGCTCATCAAGCTGGACGGGGCCATCTTCAGGAAGCCCGTTCTGAACCTGCTGCGCGACTTTGCGGAGTGTCGCATCTGGGTCCGCGTTCAAGTACGCGACCAATACAAGCGGTTTATCGCGTAAGTATACGTTCTCAGTGAACGCGTTTAATGCCTGACAATCCCGCGTCCACTAACACCCGCACTATCGTCCCAATCCATGCGCAGGGAACACATGGATCGCCATCGGGGCACGGCCGCGGACACGTACACCCCGGACGAGTTCAAGCATATGATGCGGAAGACCAGCATGGACGCGATCTTGATCAGCTTCACACTAGCCAAGAAAGCATACACGCAGGCAATGCATCGCGACCTTTGCATCCGGACGATGACCGTGCTCGGTCATCACACTCTGGCCCGCGGATGCACGATCAGAAACCTGCAGCTGCCAGACATGATGATGTGGAAGCTAGGCGCAAAATCGGAGACCGATCCAGATAGAAACGCGTTCATGTTTGTTTGCGCGTGCAGGACGGGCAAGACAAACAAGGACTTCTCGCTCAACTACATATCTGCTGTGAGGCACATAGATTGGACGCTGTGCGCGGTCGGAGCCACGCTGCTGTGGCTGCACTGGGTGTACGACTTGGTTCCCATCCTCTATGGGGACATAGCCCCCCCTCTCGACTTCACGGAACCCTCCACGTGGTACGATCAATACCTGTTCTTCCCCCTTCGCGCGAGCAACGAGAAGCAAATACCGCCCACGACTCATCACGACTGGGCGGCGAAAATTCTCCAGGACGCGGGAATCACATGCTCGCATGCGGTACACGCGACCAGGGCTGGGGGGGCGCAGCACGCATCCGCGGACGGAATGCCTTCGGATCAGCTGGCGAGGCTGGGGGGTTGGCGCTTCATTGACGTGATGACTAAGCACTACCTCACAACCATTCCAAGGGAGGCCGTGCTGCTGAAGGCGGGTTTCATCGGGGTTGACGGTGACTACTTCCTGGGTCGCGCAACTGTTCCGGTCAGCGATAAGCTGGATGAGCTACTGAGGAAGCACATTTTCCCATGGGCCGCCACGGACAAAGGACAGCAACAGGTATGTGTAGTCCGCGCATACGCGACCGCGAGCATCTTACATACCACTCTGGCACCGCGTTCACTGCCTTGTTGTTTTATTGTCACAATGCAAGGATTACAACCGCAGGATGGTGAAAACGCAGAAGCCGGAGAAGCAGGACACCACGGGGCTAAACATACTGAAGGAACAGGATGGGGACGCTAGGATGGCGGTCGCGCAAGACCTGGCGATGTATTACATCCACCAGCCGCGACACCCGTACGTGGTCAACAACCCGCTCTGCCAGACGGAGGAATTTGCGTCGTGGGCTGCAGATGTCTCATTGGCAAATCAACTCGCCATAGTACAGCGCAACACACCTACACTGACCCAGCCCGCAGTAAGTACTGAATGGTCGCGTTATGTTTCTTCCGTGATGTCAGTGCCAAACCATAACAAGCTCGCGGTCGCTTTTTGTCCATGCAGGAGGTGAGTACCAAAATGGACGCGCAGAACCAAGTGACCGTCCTCACTGAGTACTTGACTCGTTCACAAGCGGACAACACCAGACTGGGCCTAGAGTTGGTCGCGACTCATAAACGGGTGAAAGAGCTGGAGGGGCTGCTGGAGGATCGCGATCGGAAACTGGCCGAGAAGGACGAGCGCGTGAATGATTTGGAGGCCCAGCTGTCGCGGCTCACCGTGAGCAGCTCAGGGCCGACCGCGGTTCCGAACTAGGCAACCACTCCTGGAGCCGCGGCCGCGTCGACCAATGCCACACCTCCCACCGAGCAGGGGACGCGGAAGAAACCCGCAGCGCCAACCAGGGAACAGACGATTCGGGAAGCGATCGTCCTTCCATGGGTCAACGCCACCAAACCGTCAGACGGATGGAAGCTGTACAAGACAATGCACCCGCTGATCCTCGAGAGTCCAGAGTCGCTTCTGGCCCAACCCCGCGGCGCAGTTACGCGAATGGCCGCGCTCATTGGGGAGGAGGGAGGCGGCCAGAACGCGATAAACCGTGTTAAGCGAATCATGAACTTCATCGCCCACAGGGTGGAGCAAGGAGACGACATCGCGGTAGTGCTCGACAAGCTCGACCTCATGTCAAGTGCTGTGGGCATGTCGGATGTATCGGAAGGGATCGCGGTAAAGAAGAAGAGTGTTGACCTGGAACTGAGCCAGCTCAAGAAGGGTTCTCCGGTGGAGGTGCAGTTGCGTGTGAAATGGATGCTTGTTCGCGACCGTCTCATCAATGCCTCTCTTCCCGCTTCTGAGTTCACGGTCGCGTGGCCCCAGTACTGTGCGCTGATGCCAGACTTGCAGTAAATGGATTGACCCCGCTGTTGTTCGTCTTCATATCACCGTCTTCGGGTGCGATGTTATGGGTCCCTATAATCGACCGCGAGTGTTGTTTTTTTGCGCGAATATTTTGCTGATTTACATCGCGGCCGTGGTGATCGCGGGCTGTTGTTGTTCCGCGGTCAGATAGTGCTGATTTACATCGCGGCCGTGGTGATCGCGGGCTGCTGTTGCCTAATGTACATAGATTGTTCGCGTCGTAGTGTGTACAATGATAATGTGTGGGAATACCTGAGACGAATGCAGATTACCACTAAAATGGCACACGCGCAAACACACGCACCCACTGAATCCTACAAACCTTCACATATTGTTCCAAATGTCAACACTAGGTTCTCACGCGCACACGCACACGCACACACAAACACACCCACACACACACACGATTTACTACAGGCACCAGCACAATCCACCGCGAGTAGAACTCAAGCATGGCGGACAGGCTGTGCACATGCTACGCGATACTACACGCACTCAAGTGCGCTTCTTCAGACGATCCTTGGGCAGGGCAAGGTACAAACCCAAGGACTCCATCTGCTTCCCTGCCACCGAGCAGTTGCACCAGGTGATGATAACGTCCACCGTTTCGCGGGCGGCCAACTCAATGTGCCTGAGATCGCGAGACTTTGCAACGACCTCGCTCACGACTCCGGACACGATCGCGGCGGCGACCGCCTTCGGGTCCGCGACAACCTGTGGCTCATCTTCCTCGCGGCGATTGCGCTTCCGCACCGCATTGATGACGTACGCGGATACTACGGGGAAGAGACGGCTTCGCTCTCCATAGCAACCAGCAGCACGCGCGGCCAGGTTTCCATTATCCGCCGCGGCAGTGACGTTAGAACCGCGAGTGACCTCCCACACCATTGCAATGGCGCATGCGATCGCTCCCGCGTAGTCCGTCGGCTCCACGTCGCCGAGATCCGCTTCTTCTACTGCAGCCTCCTTGCCTACCACCGCGGCCCATGCAATCACGTTGGTGGTGTGCATTCCGGGCTTGGTAAGCCCGCGATAGGAATCGAACATGCGTTGCCACCTGCCACGCAGTGAGTTGGAGCGGCCAGAACATGATAACATACCAAACCGTATGAACGCACTAGATGATGGTGGATTGGCACAGCTCACCTGTCCTTGCTTGCCACGAGGTTGCGGTAGTGCATGGTGATTAAGAGGCCCGTATGTAACCCCTCGGCGATGGACAGGTCCGCGGCCCACTCTCGGATCTGCTTCTGGCTCAGGTTCAGCCCGGGGTCGACCTTCCCGTCGTATGGATACATCGCGATCGCGGTCTTGTACTGCAGGTCTTCGCGGTCGCCGTGTCCGAGCCATCGCTTCTTCCCCCCCATATGGGGTTCAGAAACCAATCCTGGCCCGCCCCTGGGTGGAGCGCGGATGCCGCAGCCCTTGCGCTTGGGGCCGGTGTCACCATGTCCTCCCGTTGTGCCACTTTCCACGATCACGGGGTCTCCTTCTTGCCCGCTCGCGCTCTCTCCGCCGCTATAAATATCGACCGCGACCTCCCCATCCTTCTCTCATCCGTCGCCCGCCTCGACCCACCTGCTCACTAGACCCTCCAGCTCCTCATCCGCATCGTCCTCGTCGATCGTGTACACGGGTGGAGTGGGCAACTTCTTGCCACCCCGTCCGCGTTTCTCCGCCTTGCCCTCGACCGAGGCCGCGATAGGACTTGCAGATGCCAGTGCGCTATGCATATGTCCCGCGGTGATTGCAGCACGAGCGGGTGCGAGCGTGGTCTGCCTGCCCTCTGCCGCAGCACCCACCGCGGACTGGACCTCACGCCTCGAGGCCAGCGAACGCGCAACAGCCGGCGCCTCTCCATCCTCCGCCTTACCCTTGCCCCGCCCCACAGTACTTGTCACTGACGCGGTTGCCCCGGCAGGGCCCGGTGGTTTGGGTGCAGCTTCTCCAGGTGGGATGGAGCGCGAGCTCGAACCCGGTTGACCAGTCGGTGCTGCACCTCGCGATGCAGCGCCCCACTTCTGCTTCAGCATGTCCTGCACGCTCGGATTGCGCACCGCGGCCGCTGCCTGGGGACCTCTCTGCCTCTTCGCCCCCCGTTGATTCTCCGCCTTCGCACCCGCTGCCCTCTTTCCATGCTCTGCATCCCCGGGCTCGGCAATCTCCGTCGCGGCCGTTCCTTCATTATCCGTGCGCGGAGGGGGGGCTCCTCCAACGAGCGCGATGAGGGTGTGCAACGCGTTCGTGACCCCGCTGGTGGTGATTGCCCGCTCTGCTGTCGCGGAGACCGCGGTCGACATGTTGTCGATCTTCCGCGCAACCTCGTCCGTCAGCTTCTTCTGAGCGACTTCCATGGAGTCTGTCACCACCCCCTGCAGCTGTCCCAGCCTCGCGTCCACTCGCCCCAGCACCACCGCCTCCTGGTTACGGGTATCGACCAGGGCCGCCCTTTCCTGCGCGATCGCCCTCGCCTCCTTCTCCAACACCCGAACCGCATTAGCAAGCGCGGACGCAAGCTCCTCAGAGCCCACGACCGCGACCCCACCAACCCCCGACTCCTGGCGTTTCTTCAGCCGTGCGTTCTCTTCGGCCAGATTTGCAAGCCTGCAGTCGAGCTGCAGGATCTCGGCAGCAAGCTTATGCGATGGCAACGAGGACAGGGACGCGTAATCACGCGGACCTGTCACGGGACTCTTGCCCGCGACCTCACCACTCGGGCCCGCGCTTCCAGCACCAGGGGCCAAGTGCTGCGCGAGGTGCTTGATGCTCTTGCCGGATGTAGCGGGCCTGCTGGATGCCGCGGCCGCTACCACATGAGCCTCCGCCTCCTCCTCGCTCGACTCCTCCCCCTCACGCGCAACAGCGCGGTCAGCCTCATCGCGGGTTGCACCCTTAGTCGCGGTATCCTCGGCCCCTTCGTCATCAGCGTGGACCTTCGTCCCCCCCCGAGCACCTCCGCCATTTGAAACACCAGCGGCACCTGTGAGAGCGAGAACACCATGGTCAGCAACCTGCGCACCCGTAGCCTCTTTATGCACATTCCCCGTTTCAGCACCTTCAGCCTCACCGCCGTGCATGGGTCGCGTCAAGTCCACGCTCAAGTTGAACGCGAGCTCTTCGGCGGTGTGGTACGCCTCGTGCCGCAGTGCATTCAGAGTCTTCGCGGTTGGCCTCGAGAATTGCGGCCCAGATCCACTGGCGGCGACCGCGTCCAACTGGGCAAGGATCTTCTCGAACGCGAACAGACAAGCGATGTTGCCGCAGGAGCCCTTCAATGACGTCGCGTCCTGGAAAACATTACATGGGGTTTGTTAGCACCACTGCAACTATTGGCGGTCATCGAGAACACGAAAACAACACAGACGTACCAGATCCAACAGACGCTCGGGATCCTTAAGCTGGCGGGAGCGGGTGCACTGAATGGAGCCGCGCGCAAAATCCTCGTCGACGCGACCCTGAAACTACCTGCCCAAAAGCACATACATATCCACGCGAACGCACGGTTAGTGACATGAGCCTCGGAGCGGAAATGAACGTGGTACTGATGACAAACCAGAACGCGGTACTCACTCCACAATCGCATCAGCCGCGGTGACGTGTTCCGCACCACCAGTGGGAATAGCAACGCGAACGAACCGCTTGTTCCACGTCTCGTCACCGTCAAGCGACAGGTGGTCGGGGTGAAGCAGAATGAGCATGCTCGCGTTCGAGCTCTTCTTGTCGACCACGTCCCTGAACGTGCCATTGACGACCGCGTTAAACCACTTAAACGAGTGCAATCCCTGTACAAGTGAACACTCCCAATGAAAACTCACTCGGACCAGATGCAGAAAACCACCAGGCTGCACTCCATCAAACCGGCAAAGGCTTGGTCCGCTTCATCGCGACCCGCGACTATTTCCGCGACAACACCGCTCGTCACTATTCGGACGTGCTCATGCACCTCCTTCTCCAGATACCTCCGGACAATCACGCTGTGCGGGACGGTGTAAAACAAGGCGGCAAAAGCTCAAACATCAACAACGCGACCTAAAAGCACAGTGGAGGTATGCCGCGGCCTGCACTGCCCACTAGTAACTATCGCTGACATGTCGCGAACAGCCTAAGCACCGCGACAATAACCAACGCGTGCACACTAGAGTCAGGGAATGGAACGCATGGATCTCACCCGGTGACAAAGTCGAACAGACGGGCCGTGAGAGGATGCTTATCCTCTGCGAGCAGCTTCCACCGTTCGGGGGGGAGGTCCACCGTGGTTCCCGCAACAGAGATGATGGCCGGACAGGAGGCGGCCTCCTTCGAGCCAGCTCTAAGCGCCTTCATTTCGCGGTTCATTACTGGTTACGACCGCAAAAGCGCGACCAAAGGAACGGTGTATCTAGGACGAAGCGTACGCGAAACAGTGCTCGCGTGTATCTAGTACGAACGGTTCGCGAATCTGTGCTCACGGCAGAAAATGAGAGCTACGCTAGACGCTACCAAGCGCGAACGCGGTCAGACAGAGTCTCTGCTAGCACTAGGCGACGAGGACCTCAATGGGGAACGGGCGAGCAGGAAGAAAACAAGATGTAAAGACGGATAACGAAAATGAGCACCAGGTGCCCGTACCGAGAACCTAAGAGTGGGCCGGGATGGAAACAAGAGCCGGCACTCGCGGTCACACTGCGCGGGCCTCTCACCCAGCGGGGAGGTTCCGCAACATGCACGCTTGTGCATCCAACGTCCGCCACGTTGCACACCATCCGCGAGCCCCGTTCGGAGCGGGCTGCCAACTCCCGCGGAGAGAGAATTTTCCTCGTCGCGACCGCCGAGGTCCGAGGTCCGATCGGGCACACCAATTCGGGTCACCCGAATTAACAGTACACTCCGTTATATTACACGTAAACTCGCAACACGTTAGAGAGATTTATAAGGAAAAAAATAGGATTTATTTCGTTTGATCATTTCGTTCGATCTTTCGAATGGCGTACACTCCGCTCCGTACATTTAATCTTTCCGCGAACGATCGTTCGCGAGGGTCCTGCGAGTATTCCGACGCTCGTAAACGACGGCGATTCGCCGGCTCCATTTCCGTCGCTCCGAAACCGGCTCCCATTGGCCGAATCCGTTTCGGCCAGCCCGAACTGCCATTCTCACACGCGGATTCGCACGCGAAATGCTTCGCGAGGGTTCTCCCTGTGAAACTATGAGCAGAGGAATGAATTGACTAGGTCAGAGTTGGGTACAAATACAACCCTAGCAAACTGTACCCCATATGTGCTACCCCACTATAGCCTACAAACATGCATCAGCTATAATAATCTGACACACCCCCATAGGCAAAGTGGGGGAGAACAAGGGGTCACAAGACCAGTCAAGCAAAGCAAAACAAGCTCAGGGTGGATCACAAAGTCACCACACAGTCCGAGCACAAGAGCAAGGCCAGAGGCCAGTTCACATGCAGGAGTAAAGACATATATATAAAACTAGACAAGCAAGAGCAGGTATATATATGTCAAAGTACAAGTAAAGTCAAGAAGAGAGCAAGTGAGGCAAGACAGGTACAAGACCCAGCTGGGTACAAAAGCGCTGATGGTCGCAAGGCGCAAGTGCCTTGGTGAACACATCAGCAGTGTTGGCCTCAGAGGCCACGTAAGCAAGTCGCAACTGACCACGCTGCTGCAGCTCACGAGCAAGGAAGTAGCGGAGAGCAATGTGCTTCGTTCTGTGCTCCAAGCGCTGCTCTCGACACAAGGCCAACATGGCCTTGTTGTCTACGTACAGCACTGGAGGAGAACGAGGCAGCTCTCCAAGGTCAGTCAGCAGGTAGGTGAGCCAGCGAAGCTCCTGTGCAGCCATGGCCCCGGCGTAGATCTCAGCCTCACAACTGGAGCCGAGAACCGAAGACGAGCGAGTAGACCGCCACGAGACAGAGCCGGAACCAAGGCTGAAGGTGTAACCCTGTGACGACCGCTGCGTAGCCTGGTCGTCAGCCCAAGAAGCGTCTGCGTGCCCAGTAAGGACCACTGGACTCCGCCCTCCAAGCACTAGCCCCATGCCCGACGTACTGCACAGGTAGCGCAATACCCTCTTCGCTGCAGCCATGTGCTCTGGTCGGTGTCTCCCAGGAGCAACATAGCGTGCAAGGATGCTCAGAGGGTATGCAAGGTCAGGTCGAGTGCAGGTCATCAGGTACATGAGGCAGCCAACAAGCTCTGCATACGGACCACTCGACTCTACGGACTCATCCGAAGGCAGAGCTGAGAGTGAGTGGCGAGTAGGCAGAGGAGTGGCCTGAGGCGAGGAGTACGTGAAGCCGAAGCGCTGAAGGACCTGCTGCACCATGTGTGACTGAGTCAGGGTAATGGTGCGGCGTGCTCTGTCCCGAGTGATCTGCAAGCCAAGGTAGCTGCGCAGTTCACCCAGGTCTGTGCACGTGTGTCTCTTCAGCAGCTCGGACTTCACGTAGGCGAGTCCAGCAGTGTCCGCTGTGGCAAAGACCAAGTCGTCGACGTACACGAGGATGTAGAACGGCGGCAGGGAAGTGTCGGTGCGAAGAAACAGCGACGGGTCAGCAGTAGAAGGAGCAAACCCAAGAGCCGCAAGCGTAGTCCTCAGTGTGTCGTGCCACTCACGCGGTGCCTGGCGGAGACCGTAGACTGGCCGTCGGAGGCTCCACTGGGTGCCAGGAGGGAAAGTCCCAGTGAAGCCAGGCGGACGGCGCAGCCAGATCTCCTCGTGCAGGCTACCCTGCAGGAACGCAGTGCTGAAGTCGAGAGAGTGAAGCTCGTAGTCGCGCTGAGCGGCAATGTGCAGCAGCACCCGAAGAGTGGTCATCTTCGGGGTGGGAGAGAAGGTCTGAAAGTAGTCAACTCCCTGCCGCTGACTGAAGCCACGAGCCACGTAACGCGCCTTGAAGACAGGCGGCGAGCCCGGCGGCCGCTTCACCCTGAAGATCCACATGCCACTGACGATGTTCGCCCCAGGAGGGGGAACCGCGTCAACGTAGGTGCCTGTGGACTTCCAGGAAGCCATCTCTGCATCCATAGCTGCCTGCCACTGAGAGGAGTAGGGACCCTCTACGGCCTCCGCGTAAGAACGCGGAGTCGGGATGTCTAGTGCATCCGGGTCTCCCTCAGGGGCTAGCAGTACAGACGCGAGACGAGGTGAAGCAGCGGCTAGACACTGGAACTCCTCCTGCCTGTCCTCTAGGACGTCCGTGCCAAGGGCACACTCACCCCCGACGGACGGAGGACAGGCGGACTCAGACTCAGCGACAAGACGAGCAGCGTAGTCTAGACGACAGCGCGCAGCAAAGTCGACAAGCTCAGTGACAAGGGCAGACGCAGCAGACGACTCGAAGGAAGGGTCAGTGACAGCAGTAGCAAGGAGACGCGTGACAGTAGGACTGGCAGCACGAAGAGAGTCCGACTCCGGGTCGGCAAGAGCAGGAAGAGAGGAAGCAGGAGGAGAAGGCAAAGGGGCACGCAGAGGAGCAGTGGACGGACGCAGTGACATCCGGTGCGTGCCAGGGACAGGAGGAGGACGCTGACGCGACCCGCGACCACTAGCGCGCTCAGTACGAACAGGCGACGCAGGACGAGACGCAGGCTCACGACGCTCAATAAGACCTCCAGTCGGACCAGCGTAGGGAGAAGGAGCAGGCAAAGGGGAGGCAGGCTGTAGCTGTGGCTGTGACCGGACAGGCTGCGGACCCTCTAAGGAAGGAGGAGGAGGTGTAAGACCAAGAACCTGCTGCAGGAGCGGAACGAAGTACGGTCGAGGCCGCGCGGCGACGCCAGAAACAGCAGGAACAGCACCAGCACCCCCGGCAGGAGCACCCACTCCAGCAGCACCTCCAGCAGAACCACCAGAAGCTCCAGAACCTCCAGCAGCAGCACCAGGAGCACCGTCAGTCGGACCACCAACCGCAGGCTCAGCGCCAACGTCCTCAGCAGGACCAGCTCCAGGAGAACACTCAGACCCAGCAGTTCCAGCACCCACAGGACGAGCACCGCCAGGTCGCGTGGCAGCAGCGCCCTCCGCAGCCGAAGAACCACCAGCACCAGCGGCACGCCTCCAGCGCCGGGCAAACCACTCACGTAGCTCCTGTGGAGAGAGCGGCTCCCGGTGAGACGAAGCACCCCCAGGCACAGCACCTCCAGGCTCGGCACCTCCCGGCTCAGCACCCCCAGGCTCAGTACCCCCAGACACAGCACCCCCAGGCACAGCACCCCCAGGCTCAGCACCCCCAGGCTCAGCACCCCCAGGCCCAGCACCCCCAGACTCCGCACCCCCAGGCTCAGCACCCCTAGACTCCGCACCCCCAGGCTCAGCTCCCGCAGCAGCACCGGAGTCACCAGTGACCTCGACAGGCTCGACCGCGTCTACCTGAGACACACCTGAAGGGGCAGGACCCTGAGGGGGGAGGGGGACTACTGGGGGGGGACCTGGTACCAAGAAGAGGGGGGGTGGGGGGAGGGACGGAGTGCGGTAGGGGAAGAGGCGGTAGTAGGGTACCGACTCGTCGAACGTGACGTCCTGGGAGGACAGAACACGTCGAGAGGTGGGGTGGTAAAACTGCCACCCAGGGGCGTCGGGGGGGAACCCGAGGAAGACGCAGGGAGAAGCACGAGGGGACAGCTTGTCCGCAGACAGGTCGCGAACAAACGCCCGAGATCCCCAGACCCGGAACGCCGACGCATCGCCAACCTTCCCCGTCCACAACAGAGCTGGGGAGGTCTCCGGTCGAGAGACCCTGGGGTGGAGGTTGATCTGGTGCGCAGCGTACCTGACCGCAAACGGCCACAGAAAATGGGGAGCAGCCGCATGCATCATGGACGTACGAGCGACGTCCATGACCATGCCAATGCGGCGCTCAGCGATCCCATTCTGCTGTGGTGAGTCCGGAAGCGTGAAGGTCTGACGGATGCCTCGCACACGACAGTAGGTACTCAGGAGGGCCGAGGAGAACTCTCCGCCTCTGTCCGAGTGCAGACGCAAGACAGGGAAGTCAGAGCCAAAGCTTCTCCGAAGCTGAAGACGAGCTGCGCGGATCCAGTCGATCAACACCTGAGTGACCTCACCCTTGCTGCGCAAGGGGAAGACTGTGGTGTAACGCGAGTAGTCGTCAACGACTAGCAGGAAGTAGCGCTCCTGACCCTGTCCACGGACGCGGGCTGGGCCCCACACGTCCATGTGAAGCGTCTGCAACGGGGCCTCTGTCGGAGGAAACTAGGAGGAGTGAGGGGCAGCACGCTGGCGCCCCTCGACACAGGGGACACAGGCAGGGCCAGGGCCCGGAGGAAGGGGAGGGAGGGACCGGGGAAGACCAGACACAAGGA